TGCAGCCCCCAGCCCTCGGAGCTGTCAGCTCCCTGCCAGCCATATTGCTGGGCGCCCGCAGGAACACGCAGCCGGAGAATGTAAACACGAGCTAAAATGTCTGCCAGGAAATAGTTTGTCTCGGCGAGCATCGCGCTGTAACTTGGGCTCCCCGGGCCGGGGGGCCCCGGCTGGCCCCCGCTTTCCCCCCACGYCGCTTGACCTTGGCCGAGGGCACATCCCCTTGGCCAAAAGGAGGAAGTTGTTCCCCTCCGGGTGTTTTGTTTTGTGTTTCTTGGGGGTTTTTCTTTTTTTTTTCTTTTCCCTCCCCGCGTTGAGGGAGCTGCACGGTGCCGCGCGTGGGGGAAGGAGCGGAATTCTGGGTTAAGCCGAATTTTCCCCCTTTTCTCATTCGGTCGGGATCATTGCCGGCATCGCCGGCAGCAAGCGCTCTCTTTGCCTCGGAAGAAAGTCGTTTTGTCAGCCAGCTCCCACTAAAAGCCCTTTTATCTCGATTYCTCCCCACCCCGCACGTTTCCGTGCGGCCTCGGGGGGTTTGCGGAGGGTCTGGGGATGGGAAAGCGCCGTTCCCGGTGGSAGCGGGGCCGGGGGAGCAGCGGGAGCTGCCGGCACATCCAGGCCCTGCTGTGTTTTCACACCCAAAGCCTCACCGGGGCAATTCCTGCCGGAAGCGGGATGCAAAGCAGGGCCGGTGAAAGCCATCCCGGCCCCATCCCTGTGCTCCCTGCGGCTTTTGGGACCCCCCTCACCCACCCCAACCATGACAGGCACCCCTTTCCCCCGATCAGCCCAGCACGGAGGGTCTGGAGCCGGTGGATTCTACCCCTCCCCARCAGCGTTTTCATAACACCGTGTGCTCCACGTGGTGTGAAAAATACCTTTTGCCTTCTCCCCAGATCCTTCTGTTTTGGGGATTTTTTTTTTTTGTGTTTCCCACCCCACCCTACCCTCCCCCAGCATGCAGATTAGTGCAGTTTGAAATGCCCCACACGGCTCAGGGCAGGGGTGAGATGAGGAGTTTTGTGCTTGCAGTTTCTATTTCTTTTTCAAACGTCAGGGAACAAAGCTGCGAGTGCCGCAGTGGTTTGATGTGGGGAAGCTCATTCCTGTCACCCCCACCGAGGCGAGGGCCTCCCTATGTTCTCCAAAACCCCTCAAACTGTGGGGCTAGGACTCACCAGAGCTGTTTGGGGTGCTGGTGACCAACCCTCTGACAGTCGAGAGCTGTGTTGGAGTAGGAAGGCAATAATAATATGGCAATTCTTACATTTTTTATAAAAGTAATATTTCAAATTAATCTGGCAAACATCACCCCAGAAGCTCAGAGCTGTGTCCAGCATCCTTCCAGGGCTGGCAGTTAGTGTGTGTGTATGGCTGTGGTGGTGGTRGGCTTTTTTTCRAAACAGCAAATTTAAGGTTTTTGGRTTTTGTTTGTAWTTCTTTCAACAAGTATCTTTTCAGATACTGCCAAATTTATAGGTTAATTTAAAAAGCAAAAGCTGGATTAGCACCACTTCAAGCTGAGCTCTGAAATGAGTTCTGTGGAGGAATGTCCCCCATTAACTGTGAACCTGTTCGATGCCAGCCAGGCTGTGATTGCATTTTTGGGGTGCATTAACTCCATAGAGTGATAGGAGCCATCTGCTTCTTCCCCCAGACTGGGGGAGCACCCCAACTTCAGGGTTTGGCCACTGCCTCTCTGAGCAAGGGTGGCTGGGATGGGGATGAGGAGGAACCTGTAAGAGGGACTTGAGTTTTGGGCCAGGCTGGGGAGCAGCAGGGCACTGCTGAGCACCTGCCAGGRGCAAATCCTGGCCTAAGGGGGAGAGGCAGCAGCTATTCCCTGTCAGAAATATCTCAGTCCCCCTTTGSTGAAGGCAGCAGACACTGCCCAAGYCCCTGAACTCTGCTCAGAGTCCTCCCAAGCATCTGACAGGAGCTCTGTGAGGGCAGCAGGGATTTGGGGTGGATGTAACCCAGAGGAGTGAAGTCCCCCCTGTGCAGGAACCACCCCCATGTCCAGGCATCCCCTGCCCACAAGCCCCTTCCCTGTGTGTGCAGCGTCTTGGGAATTTGCACACCCCACCCCGCATCCCCTTTTTAGAACCCCCCAATTCTCACTTCAGCAAGTTCTTTGCTGATTTGGGGTTCCCTGTGCCAGCCCCTTGGCTTCAGTGCAGGGCTGGGTCCTCCCTGGTGGATTTTTCCTCTGCTGGGGAGAGTGGCTGGAAAAAGGGCCCGATCCATCACTGTCCAGGTTCTAAATTTAGCYGGGTACCAAGAAGGCAGGGGCTGTACCAGGAACTGGGGGGGGCCCTGCTTGCCTTTTGCTCTCTCTGCCATAATGGGGTGTGAAGGGGAAGGGGATCAGGAAACTGGGTGAAAGGGGGTCCTGTGGGGCCAGGTGGGACCCCACAACCCTGCCCACCCACTGCCCAGGCTGTGCTGCTCCCCAAACCTGCCTCCTCCGTGGGCTTTGAGCCTCCTGGGTGTTCCAAAATCTCCTTCCCAGATTTACTAGAACCTCTCCCCAGGCAGCCCCCGCCACGCAGACCCTTGGGGGCCACACTGTCCCTTGGATCCGGGAGGGTGCCAGGCGTGGGGTGCGGGCAAGATCCTCAGCTGTGGGTCTGGCTGTCATGGGTGGGTTGGGAACCCCCAGAAACCCCCGTGGCCGAGCTGACCCCCCGTTTCTCCTGTGCCCCACAGATGTGCACCCCCAGCAACACGCCGGCCACGCCGCCCAACTTCCCGGACGCGCTGGCCATGTTCTCCAAGCTGCGCACCTCGGAGAGCCTGCAGAGCAGCAACAGCCCCATCACCTCCATGGCCTGCTCCCCCCCGGGCAGCTTCAGCCCCTTCTGGGCCTCCTCGCCCCCCAGCCACCAGCCCKCCTGGCTGCCCCCGTCCTCGCCCACCACCCACGGCCTCCACCACCACCTGCACCACCCGCAGCCCTCCTGGCCGCCCACCCCCCCGCCCGCTGCCCCCCCACAGAAAGCCGTGGCCACCATGGATGGTCAGAGATAAGGCTGGGGCTAGTGGAGGGCTTGGGGGGGTCAAGGGGCCGGGCCGGGGCGTTGGGAGCAGGGGCTCGCCAAGAAACGCACTGGAATAATTTTCTAGGTTTTATTATTATTTTTAGGGGTGGGGGGAGCACATGCTGCCAGGGAGGGTGCTGACCCGTGAGAGCCTCTGGCTGTTCTTTTCTCCCCTCCCCCTTTTTTTAAAAATATATAACTATAATATATAAATATATCTAATGTATATAAATCCAGAGAGAAGGGCAGCAACGTGTAGGCAGCTTCTGGGTGTCTGGGGGGGTTTCCCTWTGGCTCTGCCCCCACCCAGCACCCCTACATCAGGGCGGGAGAGGGAAGGGGAGGACAGGAATAACAAGAATAAATGGATGGAGGTGGCTGTTGGCACCCCAGATCATGGCCACGGGGGGGGACATGGAGCCACTGGACACCCTCCCCAGCTCTGGCTTYCCCGGACACTCGCTGCAGTGCCCAGAGCAAATGCAGCTCTCTGGCTCCTGAAATTCAGCCCGGCTTCTTGCACAGACCCCGCCCTGGACTCGCCCCCAACCCCATCCTCCCTCCCTCGGCACCCCCAGGGCGTGGGGGTTTATCAAGGTGATGTCTCCCTGTCCCTGTGACCGCCCTACGTGGCGCTTCCCCAGGCAGGGGGGAGCTGGGGTTTTTTTAGTTTTCAAATCAATGTTGCTTAAAAAAAAAACAAAACAGAAAAACAAACCAAAAAAAAAAAAAAAAAGGAGAAAAAAAGATCCAGCAAAAAACAGGTTGAAGGTTTTTTATTAATTTAAAAATAATAAAAATTAAAAAAAAAATCACTTTTTTAACACCAGCTGTCCCTGCCTTTTCTCTCTGCTGGGAGGATGTCCCTGGCAGGGCACTGAGGATGGGTGCCACAGTGTCACCAGTGTCACCAGTGGRGACTGGTCCCCCCCAGGAGCTGCCCTGAGCCCCTGCTCTGCTTCCACAAGCCACCAGTGCTGTCCCCAAAGAGGGGGGATCGGAGGGAATCCTTTTCCACCAGCTCGAGGATGTGGTAGTCACACAACAAACAGCTGGGGTAAAACCCCAAAAATGGGAACACAGCAGCTCTGGGCATGCCAGGAGAGACAGGGAGGCTCARGCACAATGGCAAAGTGTCCTCCAGGGACGGGGAGCTCCACGGGGTGGCACAAACTCCAAGAGAAAAAGACACAAAATCTCCCATCTGGGGCTGCTCTCCGTTCCAGCAGCACAGAGAGCACCCGTGGAGGGCTGTGGGGCTGGGGGTGTKTTYAGGGGATGCAGGGGGTGTTTATAGGGCACCTCTGGGTCCTTGGGTCAGCAAATGCAGCAGGGGATGATGAGCACCAAAGGGGTCACCTCAGCTGGGCATATCCTGCACATGCAATTAACCCCAAAGGTGTTTGTTTTTGAGCCCCTCAGCCCCACCCAGGGGTGCAGGACGGTCCTTTGCTGGCTCTGATCTGGTGCCCAGTGGTTTGCTCACAGTGTTCCCAATTATTCTCCTGGAGGTGGCACTGGGGGGATCCCAAATCCTGCTGTGTCCACCCCAGCACCCCAAAGCAGATTTTGAGCACCTGGTTTTCCCCTGAAAAACCAAACCCACCAGGAAAAACATTGCAGGGGCAACTCCCTGGGAGCTAAGGTGTCTGTGGGGTACAGTGGGGTGGACAGGGATGGAGTCTGTCCCYRTGGGKGAAAGGTTTGGGAAACATCCACCAGGAGAGCAGGGTTTTCTTGGGGCAGCCCCCAGGGGATGTCCCCCATAAGCTCTGGGTCCCCCCAGGTGCCTCTGGGATTCCCCTCAGGGTTTCTCACCCTCCCACTCACCCCTGAGGTGCCACCAGCTCTGTGTCTCCCTGGTACGGGAGACCTGTGTCTCTCCTGTCACTGCCTTTGTGCAGAGGGGACATCCCCAGCCCCCTGTGAACACATCCACGTGTCCCCAGCCCAGCTGGGACAAGCCTGTGCTGCTCCACGGGTCGGGGTTTCCCTTCCCCTTCACTCGTGACATGACTTGTGTTCGGTCTCAGCACACTCTGGGGCTTTTCCCATGCAGAGTGAGGGGTGGGTGGCACGGGGGAGCTGGGGAAAAGTAGCCCCAAGCTTTTGGGGTGGCMCAAGGGAAGGAGGGGACGTGTCCCTCTCTCAGGGAGCAGGGACAGGCTGTGGTGTGTTGGTCGGAGGTGGGAAGCAGAGGGGTTTGTGCCTTCCTTTTCYATCAATGGCAACGCTGCAGGAGGGACAAGGGGGTGACAGAGGGGATTTCTGGCACTGAGGAAGGCAGCTTAGTGATGCTCATCCCATGGGATAAGCGACAGCAAACCAGCAGCTTGGGGTGGGATCCGCTTTTGGCATCAAACTCTGTTCGCTCATTGAGGTCCCCATTTCCCCCTTCTCCAGCAGCAAATGAGCATCCTCCTCCTCCTCCTGCTGCTCCTGCTACCCCAGACCCCTTTTAGGGTCACAGGCTCCCCTGGCAAGGGCACAAGCAGCACTGAGGGGTTGCACTGACAGACCCTGGAGGGGTTGGGCTGGGACTGTGTTCAGGATGGGAGACGCTGCCCTCCTTGTGYGTGAAGGGAGGATCCTGCCCCAAGGCCACTCGGCTCAGGAAGCACTCGGGAAGCTCGGCTGCTGTCACCCTTTATTTCTGCGGGCTGCAGTCGCCTGCTCAGTTCGGCCCCGTCACACTCCGGCCCCGGTACACGAGTCCATCGCTGCCCACCAGACCGAAGGCGCCGGGCTGGGAAGAAGAGGATGGGCTGGCTGCCACACCGGTCTGCATTCAGCACCCACAAAACAGCCTCCCCACCCAGCTCCTCCTGGGGAAACTGAGGCACAGATCACCCCCCACACCCCTCCCCCACGGGATGCTCAGCATCGCCCTCCCATCCTCGCTGTCCCCAGCCCGTGTCCCCTCCTTCCCCATCCCTACCTGGTTGGGATTTGGGAGGAGYGGCTCCATGGGCTGTCCCGGGTAGGTGCTGGTGTGTTTGCCCCCACAGTACATCGGGGATCTGCGGGAATACGCCCTGTGTGCCACGTCCCTGCACGACAGGGCACAGGGGTGCTCAGTGCCCAGCGCCGTGGCACTCTGTGCTTCATCCTGCTCTGCCAGGGAGGGCTTCAGGGGGTGCTCCCCTTTCCCCTTCCTCCAGTGCTGCATGAGACCTCTGCCYGTGTCCCCAGGGAGGCAGGAGCAGGACTGTCCCAGCTGCAGGRCTTGATTTTGGGAATTCCTTTCACAGGAGGCACCAAGACCCACCAAACCTGAGTTCAGGCTGACACCGGACACAGCTCATCCCATGTGGCTGCAGTGCCACTGACACTGAGACACTGAGACCTGTAAAACCCCTCTGAGCCCAGCTGACCCTCTGCAGCTCCTCTCTGCCCCCTTACCTCTGGCCCCCTCTGCCCCACSCAGGGAAGAGCTCTCCTTGCCAGGACAGGGCTCCCCCATGCCCCAGGGATGGGTCCCCATGTCCCTACCTCTGCTCCTCCATTTCAGACTGGTTGACACCATAGGGCCCRGAGAGGCCGGGGATCGGTGACATGGTCCGCATCATCTCAGAGTGTCTGGGGAGGGTGACAGGGGCCACGGGTGGGTGACAGGGGCCAGAGAAGCCAGCCCTGGCACTGCAGGGCACTACCAGCACCCATCTGYCTCTGTCCCATCCCTGATGCACCGGTGCTGGTGCCGCTTACCGGCCAGGCGACCCCACAAGTGACTCAGAAGATAAGTACTCAGAAGAGGGCATTTTTAGGAGCCTCCTAAAAAAGGGAGAAGAGGGCTGGGCGAGCTCCTGGGGGACACAGCCCTGCCTGTGYAGGCAGAGCCAAGTGCCGAGCATGGTGCTGCACGAGTTCCAGYATTTGCAGGGGAATTGTGGGGTCCTGAACCTGGTTTCCCCCCCACCACCCCAGCACAGTCCAACCCACAAACTAACGGGGGTGTGATGTGGGAAATGGGTTATTTGTAGGGTTCCACCGGGGAAAGATTCCCATCTCATTTTAGACATTTTAGACAGTGGTGAATCTGCAGAGGGAAGCTCCCAAAACCCATTCTGGGAATTTCTCCCAGGGGCAGCCCAGTCCCGTGGGAATTAGGGCTGGTGGAAAGGTCAGAGTGGGGAGTTTCCTGTATCCCTTCCTAGGGTGGAATCCTCCCAGCCTGGGACATGCTCGCCTCAGTCCTGCTTGCACCTCCAAATGTGGCAGCTGCTCCAGGGTGCCCAGGGCACGTAGGGATGGGAGGTGGAGGGCACAGCCTCCCACACCCCCCCCATCCCAACTGGACATTGCCCCTGTGTCCTTGCTTGCTCAGCGCTCAGGACCCGCTGTGCCCTCCCAGGTGGGCAGGATGTGACCCAGCTGTGGCACTGTGTGTCCCAGCCCTGCCCAGGGGATGAGCTGCCACCCCCGACATTTGTCACCAAAGCCTTTGCACCTACATCCCAGCTATGCCTGGGACTGGCTCCATCCCGGGTCTGCCTCCTCTTCCATCCATGGATGAAAAGTGCTTGCTGCCAGTGGGAGGAAATCATCATCAGCATCMCCACGGTTCCATCAGTGCAGAAATGAATCCAATGCCAGGGCACCACATGGCTCCAGCCAGAGGGAATGGGGCCAGCGCTGTCCCCATGGCACTCACCTGCTTGTCCCAGCCACGCTTTCAGTTGGCACCCARTTGGTCTGGAATCCTGGGTAGCCTTGCACCCGCTGGGCAGAGGGTTGTGTGCCAGGGGCTCCTGGATGCATTCCCGAGGTGGYGAAATCACCATGCGCACTCTTCTGAACATGGGGAGAAGCATGAACAAGCAGAGCAGTGTTTCAGCCCCAGCTCTTACCCCCAAACCTCCATTCCTTTCCCTCAGGTAAGGCCCTTGAGCTTAAAGCAGACCGTGGTCTAAGGGCAACAAGATGGGGATGCAAACCCCAAAGGGAGGAGCGTCTTGGGGGAGCACCCAGGGGCTGGGAAAAGCCTCTACCTTGGAGATGCCGGTCTTGTTCCCTTTATGCTGTCTCATGTCAGCTTGTTCCATGTAATTATATCCCATGTCACTCTGCATCGTGTCGCTCCGTCCCATGTCGCTCCATCGCACATTCCGTCCCGTGTCACTCCGTCCCATGTCACT